CCGTCCCCTACGACTCCTGCAAATTCTCCTTCAACTCCTCCAATAATTAGTGAGGAAAGTGTTGATAAACCTGAAAGTTCAGAAAAGGTAATTTTGTAAAATTATATCTACTCTGTAAATTAAAAAAAAAAAAAAAACAATCTTCAAGGCTTATGCTTAACCTTTTATTTTTCTTCTAGGAGGCGATTGCTCCACCCAGTCCTCTTAAAAGAAAGCTCAGTCACAAAATTAGCTATGTAATGATGGGTCCAGCTGGCACTGGGCAACCTTTTATTTCATACCCGCAGCTCCAGTTCAAGCCTGAGAACTTTTTTGCACTTGGATCTCCTATTGGTGTCTTTGTGACAGTTAGGGGAATTGACAAACTTGGTGAGGATTTTCAACTACCCACATGTCCTGCATTTTTCAACATTTTCCATCCATATGACTTGGTGGCCTACAGAATTGAGACACTGATCAGGTCAGATATGGAAAAGATTCCACCTGTACTTATACCTCACCATAAAGGACGCAAGAGAATGCACCTTGGTAAGATGATGTTACTGAATCTTTGTAAACAGAATACCTTTTTACTCTTTGACCTTCTAACAAGTTTGTTAACTGTTTTTGCTTTCAGAACTTAAAGAAACTGTGGCTAGAATGGGAGCTGACATTAAACAGAAAGTTCTTGATTCAGTGAGGAATACATGGAACTCAGTTTATCAGCTTGCCATGTTCCATCGTAGTCATGAAAGTCTCTCTGAAGAAATGAACCAGGTAAATGTTTATCTTTCACCACATTTTTCTTACATAAAAAAAAAATTCCTGAGCTACGTAAATAATTTTCTTTTATTTACAGGTTTTAGAGGACCAAATGAAGCAAGAAAGCCTTCATGAATCAAGTAATGCAAGTGAACTGGAAGCAAACTTAAATATTGTTGTTGGCAAGTTAAATGGGGGACGACGAATTGATTATGTTCTTCAAGAAGCACCTTTAGAAAGTTTCAATGAGTATCTCTTTGCCATTGGTAGTCATGTTTGTTATTGGAAATCAGAAGACACTATGTTGTTGATGTTAAAGGAAATGTACAGGTCAGCAGGGATAAATGTTGACAATCAGGTTCCACAGCAACACATCAATCCCCCTATCGGTATTCCTTCATCTTCATCCACTTCTGACTCTTTGAGTGTCTACTCTCAAGCCATTTCATCTTCGGAGCCTGCCCTTCTTGAACCTAGCCCGCTATTTCCCTCTCATAACCATGGTGCCTCCCAGCAGGTGATTGGTATGGACCCGACTGCACCTCCATCTGACAGCAGAGTTGCAGGACCCCCACCTATCAGTGGATTTTTCAGAAAGTAATTTGACATTACATTCCCTTCAAGCAAGTGTCTTTGTTATTTTTTGTGTACAGTCATGAAAAGATTTTTTTTCAATTTTAATATACTGTTATGTTTGTTGACTGCTTTGCTCAATCTATATAAAAAAAAAATCTTTAGCAATGCGTGACCAATTTAGGAGTAACTAAGATTAAGATTACAATAATGTCTTCCTTTGTAGATAAAAGGAACATGAAGTATTCGTAATAAGAGAATGTAACTATAAGGCATCTATTTAAAATGTTATTGCCTTAGGGAAGTAAAGATATTTTTATTTTCTATATTGTAAAAATGTGTCCTGCACATTTACAAAGCATGCCTATGGTATTTTCAAAAATAAATTGTTAACTTGTGATTGAATTTGTAGTTGTTAACACTGACTTTGTGCACAAATGGATTCCCAACCGAAATACCGCCTTACCTCGTCCCGGTCCCCCGTCGGGACGCAGCTTTCTCTCTCGAATGCCTGCTCCGTATGAATGCTGTATTATTCACCCTTCAATTATTAGTGCGCTTTGCGTGATGGTGGGTGGAGCCCGGCGGAGCCGGTGCGCTGTGCCTGGAACACGATTCGCGTCTTTGGTCACAACAGAGGTGGCCTTGCTTGGAGTGGGCCTGTTGTCTGCATTGAGCGCTGCCGCAAGGAGTGTTCACTCGCTCTACCCTCGTCACCTAGTCGTGAAACACCCCTGTTCTGATGACTGCCTCCGTCGCAGTCCCCGACAGTGACGGTAGGCGGGTCTTTCGGTGGAACTGCCGCCTCCTTCCTACTCGATATGCAACTCTGTGGCCGGACTTCACCGCAGAGTTATCTGCGAGGGAGCGATAAGTTGGTCTCGTCGCTGGATCGACTCGACTTGGGCCCGGGACTTCCCCGGCCGCTCATGGCGGGCATGGAGAGCGCGCCGGGCGGGTTGGCCGAGCACCTCCAGAACTGGCGCCACCACCTGTCCGCCACAGAGCGTCACGGACTGACGCTGCGGTGCGTCCGCTTCTTACGAGAGCATTGGGTTAGTCAACTGAGCTGGCGCCACTGGCGTCGTCAAAGTCGAGGAGATATCGAAACGTTGTCGTTTTGACGGTCGTTTCCCTGCTGAGGAGCCCTTTAGCCTTAGCGAACGTTGAGCCCGCGCGTCTCTGTCCTTGCAGATAAACGTGTTTACCAGCTTGCTGTCCTTGGTCTTCAACTTCGTGGACATTGTCCTGGCCGAGAGTAGGAACGCGACGCGAGTCCCCCTCAGATTCATGATCGGCGCTTATTCGGGGACGGCGTCCTTCCTGATCCTGACCAGGAGGAAGCACATGGCCGATGAGGCCCTCCGGCTCGCCGCCTCCGTCGCAAACACCTTGGAGAGGGAGGGCTCGCCCAGCGACCAGGTCTGAGACTCGCGCATGCACATTCATGTGCATCCGATATACGATTGGGCTACCTCTGGATGAGAAGAAATCTGGAATAAATGCGACAACCATCAATGTGGACGCCCATCGCCGTGATGCTTGTACCGGAGCAGGGGCTGCAGGCGCGGGCGGGTGGTGGGGGAGTGCCACTTCTCCACCATCCGCCCCGCCCCGCGCCTGCAGCCCCTGCAGCCAGTGTATAGGCAACCCAACGTACTGGCACGTCTTAACCTGGACATCCGGTTACATTTCTTCCAGATTTCTTTTTGCCCAGAGGTAGCCCAAATTGTCTATGCGGCAATGGCCATAGAAATGTTCAAACAAGGTGACATATTTTTGACGCGTTGGATGCGGCAATGCGCCCTCCAATGCCTCAATTAGAAAAGGTCTTGTGGGGTG